AAGAGAAATCAGAAGAAATTCCACCTATAATTACACACCAAGAGGATGCGAGCATAAGGGTTATCAACAGAACAATACCTAAAACTGTACCTTCACTGGAGACAAGAATGACAGCTCTAGAAAATGACAACATAGAGTTCAAGAGAATGCTTATGGAAATTTTAAAAAGACTGAAGGTGACTGAGGCAGAGAGGGAATCAAGACCAAGATACAGATCACAATCTCCTACAAGAGATGGTCAATCAAGATCATATAGTCCTGAAAGAGAGAGACCGGTGGAATGTTTCAAATGTGGTGAGATGGGTCACTACGCAAGAAACTGCTTACATCAAACATACTCTAGATCAAAAGTATCATTTCAAAACAGATCATCCCCACAATCAGATTTAAACTTTCAAGAGCTGAGGAAGTAGGCCATTCTTCAGCTCACATCAATACACCAAGGCCACAACCCCATACTAAATTTAAACTTTAACCCCTATTTTTTTTTTTCAGTCAAACCTATCACATCTGGAGATTTTAACAGTCACCCTGAAAATTTCATTTCTTTAGAAATTTTTAATTATGTAATGCAATTTTTTTTTTTTTAATGATCGTCAAGAATTGTTGGAGAATTTTCCATCACTGACGTCGGATAGTCTGATGTTTTTTGTTGGAGGAGTTTCTGATAATTCATCTTTAATAAAGCTTAATCAAAATATACTTTTAAAATCTAGAAAATATTTTATTAAGAGATTTTACACTTAAGATTGGTAAGTTTATTTTTAGGATGTTGTAATATAGATTAGGGAACACTGATGCCGATGATATACAGTCGGATCGTCTGATTGTTGTCATTTTGCATCATGTTTAATTTATGTTGATATTTTTATCATTTTAAAGAATTTGATATAATTTTTAGTGTTTTATCAAAATTTACAACAATATAGGTAAAAACTTTAAAATATGAGGGGGAGGAATGTGGTAAATATTGATCGGGCTCAAGATCCCAATATTCTTACTCTGAGTGGTTGTCAACTATAAACAATAAGTTCAGTTGCATCGTAGACCTGACAGTGTTAACACACCATAAATAACCTGGGAGGTTTTGCGGCTCTTTGAGTTCACCTGCATAGGTGTGCATAGGTGAGCTATCTCTTTTATATTTGTATATAGTTATACAAATACAACAAATGTATTTATTAGTTTGTAATAACAAAATTGAATAGTTTCAGAGATCGTCTCCTGACAAAAAATGCTTACAGACAGACAGTCATGGATATTCCAATGTACCCCAAAAGGGTATAACTACAAATATACTGCTGCTGCCTTAAATAATATTTCGGTATCATTTCTCATTCTAAGAGCATTTAATTTGATTAAAAGAAACCTGTGAATAAAATGGCAAGCCTAACTAAATACCCCCTTTCAATCAACCTGAAGACGAACAAGTGATCGGATCTATGGAACCTTCCTGTCTGCCAATTGAAATAAGACATTCTACGTACTGCTGCAAGTTTCTGTTTCCAGCCAAGGAAGGACGTAAATGTTCGTGTTATGTAGAAATGTTCGTTGTCTTTACTGTGTCATCAATGTGTTTTCAAGTTTTCTTTATGTTCTGACATCTTTATCCTAATTTGATTTCCTCATATTATAAATTTGGATGAAAATGAAATCTACAATTTGATTTAATAGTGTTTTCACTGACTGTATATGAAATAACGTGTACAAGAGATCGTATATACCACACCATAAACATTTAATGTCGTAAAAGGATATCTGTCAACTTGAGTTCAAAATCTTTTAATTGGAATTATTATGCTTCCTGTCAGTTTGTCTCTATATAATCAATACCCAACTATTTTCGCTTAGTGTTCTAAGGATTTATATAGCGTAAGCATACTATGCCGAAATAGTGCACGGCTGTCTTTTCTAGAGAAAATGTATGTAGCACCCACGCTGGGGATCGAACTCACGATCTCGAGAACGTTAGTCCAACGCGTTTTTTTTTCTCTTTTATTTATATTCAACGCGTTAACGATTACGCCTCAAACACCGCTACTTTAACGAATGTATTTTCAAGTATATAAACGTAGTTTTTATACATTTGTCACAAAACAAGAAATAAATGAATATAATTTCTAAAAGACTGATATTATTGATAAGGATCTTAAAGAAAAATTCTCTAACAAATAATCGAATTTTTCAGTAACCAAAATTGCAACGTAACATGAACTGGTTCTTCGGAGTCAATAAAACGCTTTTTGATATAACGCTTGATTAAAGAATGTTCAAGAAAATTTTCATTTAGATTTAACGTCTGCAAACAGGTTTGGGATTGAGAATTTAATTAAATTGTCGTATACAAACAACAGTCAGCATAATAATTATAATAGTGTTATTATTTGGATGTACTATGCCGAAATAGTAGTCAGGGTTTGACACATAGTGCACTCGCCTCCGGCTCGTGCACCATGTGTCAAGCCCTGACTACTATTTCGGCATAGTACATCCAAATAATAACACTATTATATAATTGGCAACCTTTCCTAATAAATATATTTATACACACACACTCTCTCTCTTCGAGTTGTGAGTTGATCGTCCTGTATATAACATGTCCGTTTGTCATTAATAGAATATTCTGATTTATCGATACTATCACATTCCTCATTAGGACTAAGGGTTGTTGCCACATATAAGCTATTTAAAATTGTGTACCCTAATGATGACTTTCGATTTGTAATGACAGAATAGAGAATGAAACCATCAGGGAATATTAACAAGTCGCTACAGGACAACACGACCACAACAACCCACCCGATAAAATGTCTTTACATTAATGTGATTGTTGAGAAATAGTATTAATTGTTTCCATCGGAACATTTCTGCGTCATATCTCATTTCTTTGTTTTTTTAAATAGTCTGATAATAGCTCCGTTCGCTAACACTGGGTAATCTACCTGAAGGTTAAAGTCCTTTTTTTCTGCTGGTGTTGCCATTTTCCCAGCAAGCAATTAAAATCCATATAACTTGCTGATATAATCCGCTATATTTCATAAAGTGAACAACAGTCATCTTGACTGTTTAATTATTATTCTCTTTGTAAAAGTCAATATGCCATTGGGAATCAAAATCAATTAAAGTAACTCGATTCTGTTTTGGATAATAAGAATTTTACAATGAGTGACTCTGTTTTAAGTAAGACACCAGTGTTCCCTTATAATTGAGTTACTGAGAAAATTGAAAATAAGTAAGTAAGTAAGTAAGTAAATGGTTTATTATAGTGACATGTGTTATGTACAATTACAACAACTTTCTACAAATATACATATAATAGGAATTTAAACACCCGTCCCATCGGGCCTATATGTCACTTTTAACGATATAACATTCAATAAGAATACTGTGATATTACACATTGCGTTTATTATAAATAATAGACTGTCTGTAAGTACATGTATATGCTGAGTATATGAATTTTCCGATTTGTCTTGGGAAATTTACTAATAGAAATTTGGTTAACGTTTTGTCTAAATCTGACATATTGCTATCAAATGAAGTTGGTTTAAATCCAATACTGATAAAAAAGATTGCTCTAAAATTTGAACATGATGTACAATGAAGCAAAAAGTGGCATTCATCTTCTACACTATTTGAAGAACATAGAGTAGAGAGTCTATCAGATAAAGCCTCCCCCTTATACCGTCCTGTTTCTATTCTTATAGGTAACACACCTCATCGAAATTGAACAAGTATAGAACGATGACACTTTGGAACATCCATTGTTACATATTTCTCAGTCTGAAAATCAAAATTTTGAAAATAAAAACACTCTGATGATACTATCTTATGAAAATAATTTCATGTTGGATTGCTTGACCTCTACATTATTCCAGGCCATCGCAAGCATTACTGAGTACTAAGCATCTCACAGATTTTGTTCTTTCCAACATTAACTGGTTAAATTCTGAAATTCATCATGACTTCTCATTTTTTGTTAATTACAAGTTGACAAGACTCAGTGGTGTATGTATACCAATACTCAAAGTATACAATAGGTTTCACGAAGAGTTCAAACAGTGAGGTGTCTAACGGTAAAACGTGTAACTAAGCTCTGTGTCCTCGGTTGGTCTGTTCATTTGGAGATAAAAATCAAAATTCATATTCCTTGTGCAGTGAGTGATTAAATTAAAATGTTTTTCATGGCCGAAAGGATGGTTAAAATAAAAATTCAATATGCCTCGTGCAGATTACTTTAATGAAAACTCAAAACTGCAATGATGTATATCAATTAATATTTTCAAATAATATATTACATGTACTATTGACATAATAATATTTATTTATGAATGAAATAGGAGAACAGACTAAGTCATTAGATTTTATTATAAATGTACAAGTTTATGGTTTTACAGAGTTCCGGTACATACGTGTATCATTAGAACAGACAAGTTCACAGAATTTCGGGGTATTTGGTTTGTTCAAAATGCCTTGTACAAAAATTCTTTTCTTAGCCACATAAAGTATTATATAGTAATTATAATGATATTCTTCTCCAATTTTCAGACGCTTAGTGTTTCCTTACTCTATTTATTACCCCCACAAACTACTTCGATTGAGGAGATTTTGATAATAAGTTCTGGTTTTATAACATAAATTTGTGCAGATTAATATTATAAAGGGTTTTGAAATAATGTTCACATCCAATGTTTCTTTGTATTCTGATCAATCGGACATTCGTCTTTTGACCTGAAAGTATCCAAACTTCATGTTCATTGTTTAATGTTGACTGAAATCTAAATTTGTGGACACCTAAATCAAATCACCATAACTGAGTGCGCTTCAGGATATCTCAGCAGGCGCAATCTATGAAGCAGATGTTCATGTGGAAATTATCACTTGGACTTATTTAACATTTGAAAACGAGATTATATAAAATCCATAGAGTAACATGTTGTGTGATGAACTTATATGCTTATTCTGTATTTATTCATTTTTTATTTGATATTCCAGAGATCATGAGTCTAACTAACGTGAATAAAACGAATCTGCAGAGCTTTTACAGTGTCATCTATGGATATATGCAGAACAATTACTACCCAGAATGGGAACACAGTAACGGAACGTCATTATGGTGGCTTAATGAAACCGAGGAAAACACACTTCTTCACAATGCTAGACTGTTTTATTCTTATTGTACACCCTTTGTAATAGTAATTGGAATTTTGGGGAATATCCTTTCGCTGTGTGTTTTTATGACAAAGAACTTGCGTAGTCTCTCTGCCAGTACGTATTTGTCTGTCCTGTCTGTCTCAGATCTCTTGACCCTACTATTTTACGTCACCGTGGAATGGCTTCGGCGGGGACTAGTCTACCTGGATCCAGAAATGAGGAATAAAATTCTTTTCTTTGATGAAAATGTGGTTTGTCAGTTTCAGCAGTACATGGCTTACGTTTCTAGACTTCTATCAGCATGGATTGTAGTTGCTTTTACATTGGAACGGTACATCGGTGTTTGTTGGCCGTTACTAAGAAAAATCATTTGTACCAAACGCGGAACTAAGCGCGTTATTGGTGGAATAATCACGTCTTCAACGATTGTTGTTCTCTACAAACCTATTTTGAGTGCCATTTATGTTAGTGCTAAAGGGAATCGCTACTGTACTACGGCAGAAAACTACAGCTTTTTGTCTTTTATTCTAGACAGTATTTACGCCATTTTGATGAGCATGATACCCTTCTTAGTTATAGTGGTTCTCAATATCCTTACCATCCGAAAGCTTTTGTCACGGAATAAAAATCGAAAAAACCATAATAACATAGTGACGGAGGAGAGTGTAATTCGACTGGAATTCACAATTATTTTACTGGTAGTATCATTCTGTTTCATCGCCTTCAACGTACCATTTTTTGTAGTTTGGTTGCGGACCTTCCTTCATTCCAAACATCTCTCCAATACAGAAGATTTAACCACATACGCGGACCCGGATTTCGATTATTGGCAGGGAATTCTATACATAACAAGAACAATTTTCAATATGAACTATTGCATTAACTTCTTCTTGTACATCATTGCAGGTGCTTATTTCCGACGAGAAGTTAGAATGTTGTTTTCGCGCCATTCTTTTCGCGATCTACCGTACTCTCTTTGTTCTCTGCGTCTGAACTCAAACACTCGGACGCCTAAGACATATCTTTGAGTCAGGTTCTTAAGTCTGGATGTCAATAAATCTTGTAAAGTTAGCTTCACTGGTTTAAGCTTCAATGCATGCAAATCATAAAGACATTTGATTTTTCACTTTAAAAAAAAATATTTTAATTAAACTATATCAAATCAAACACACCCTCACACACACACACTTGCACACCCTCTCACACATGTACACACACAAACACACTCACACATTCTACGAAAACTGTTTCAAAAGTTCGCGGACAATGTGAATTTTGGTTATGCTGGTTTTAAAATGAACACATTATCATATGTAACAACAACAACAACAAAAATCATGTGTAAAGTAAAACGGTGTCTCAATTTGAACCCGGATTAATACCTGGATTTTCGATCGACTGAGATTTCAGATATTGAGTCTTTTTTTTTAACCTTGGACACTAGGTTTGATATAGTACAATTTGAAATCAAAGTGTTGTTTATTACCAATCTGTGGTACTTCTCTTTTGATTCCTTCTTTGGATGTTCCAGAAATTCTCCATCTTCATGTAGAGAAATTCTTTTCATTAATGTTATTGTTAGTGGGAAAAAGTAAACTTTTTAAAGATGATAGCGCGCTTCTTTGTGTTTTAGTAGAGAATGACATGAAATCAAAAACTTAAATGAGAGTGTGCATAGCTAAGGAGTGGAAATTCACTGTACAAAAGGTTGACACAAAACATTGAGTTATCACGAAAAATGCATTACAGTCGAAATTGTCACATAAACTTCATGTAATCCAACCATAATTATAACTCATTGACAACTTTTGAAATGTGCCTTGCAATTATTTCAGAAAGATGATATTATAAAGCTGGAGTGTGAGTATAATGATCAAGTTAGCTTTGTACAATGATCAATAGCTTGATCTCCCCAGTGTTGATTTAATGAAAATCAACGTCACAATTAATACTTTGTAAATTGCAAGTACAAAATTTACAGTATGTGCAAAATTTATATTTTAACTACGACCAGTAATTTAAAACCCACGTGATATTTTTTTGTAAAAAGTTACAAATAAATTTGAGGGCAGAAAATATATACCACGTCTTGACAGAGACCAAAAAATCTGAACTTGTATCTTTTCTCTGGTTAATGAATATGATTTGTAAGTACTCTCAATTAAATATATTCATTGTTCAATATAATCGTCAAAGGCAATTTTAAAGATAATTTAAAACTTACAAAGCAGATTTCTCGTCACGATAGGGGCGCCTATTGTCTTGTTCCCTTTCTGTTTTAGTGTTCTCCTGTTTATATTTAGAAAATCTAAAGTCCTGGCTGATGAAATATTGACAGAATTGTCAGAATGCATTTTCAGCGTATTTTTATTGTTTATTTTCTATTATCCAACTGTCAAATAAAGAACAGAAAAAACTGGTTGATGATGATTTCGAGAAAGTTTCAAGAACGTGTTCCAAGCAATGCCAAATTGATAATCAAATTTAACGGCGATACACCATAAACTATTTATCTCATATTACTGTGATATTTTTTTCCCTTGCAGTATAGTTTTAACTCTTAACATTGTCTTCAAGTATAGTCTAAACAGCCTTGCTGCGCCTCTTGATTTTCACTGTAGTCTAAACACCGAGAAGGTTGCAAAAAGAAGTATGCCTGTTGTTTGTTCCCGATTCGTCTCCTTAAGGACCGTCAGTTAATTAATTATGTCAAGTTTTTGTTTTTTAAATTAAACCTCTTTAGAAGGCAGATTTTCAAATAATTGCTAGGCAATTGACATAAAAAAGTTGTGAAACTGGAAAGGTTACCAGCGGACACTGTACTGACATGACCCAAGACGATGAGGTAACAGAAGTACAATTGTTTTTATTATTGCTTGCAATATTTGTCTTGGTACCTCATCAACAGTTTAATATCATGGCTTTCTGAACATTAATGAACTTGTATAACGCTTTTCTACCATATAGATAAGGTTACAAATTCTAAAGTGCTTTCCTCAATATAGATAGATAGATAGATAGATATTAGGGATGGCAGTTTGTAACCGGTTAACCGATTACTCGGTCGGAACGATGGTAATAGGTTAGAAAATCTGTAATCGGTTAGTCGGGAAAAAATAAAATGTATGTAAATTTGAACGCGACTTTCTTAAAATTCACGTTTATAAATGAAACCTCTGCATACACGTTAATAATTTAATTTCGTTTGTATACTAGCCTCTGATTGGTTAATATCCAAAAAGGAACACAAATTATTTCTGTATAACCTGGTTTGGTATGGGGACACACCCCCCTGACAACCAGCTGAATCACCTGTATCCATGCAATCCTCTCATTTCCAGTCCTCGGGATTCATGGAAAATTCCAGATTTAATTAATGTACCTTTAATTTCAAACAATAATTCGATCTTACCACATGTAACCAAACAACATGGCTGCTAGGCCTATGTATCAGTTTTTACCTCCCCTCGATTCCCATCACTTCCGTTACTTCCGTTACTGTGGTTGTATTATTGAGCGGCAAATTTGAACTAATAAAAAGTAACGAAATTTTAAACCCATAGTTATTTAATGATTTTAAAATTAAATTATAAGGAAATAATTTAATTTTGTTTGTATTCTAGCCTCTGATTGGTTAATATCCAAAAAGGAACACAAATTATTTCTGTATAACCTGGTTTGGTATGGGGACACACCCCCCTTGACAACCAGCTGAATCATCTGTTTCCATACAATCCTCTCATTTCCAGTCCTCGGGATTCATGGAAAATTCCAGATTTAATAAATGTACCTTTAATTTCAAACGATAATTCGATCTTACCACATGTAACCAAACAACATGGCTGCTAGGCCTACGTATCAGTTTTTATCTCCCCTTGATTCCCATCACTTCCGTTACTTCCGTTACTACGGTTGTATTATTGAGCGGCAAATTTGAACTAATAAAATGTAACGAAATTTTACACCCATAGTTATTTAATGATTTTAAAATTAAATTATAAGGAATGACTCTAATCCTTGGCCAAATTATTCGAGTATAACCTGGTTTGGGTCAGTTTACGCTGTTTTATAATCCGCTTCGCGGATTATAAAGCGTAAACTGACCCAAACCAGGTTATACTCGAATAATTTGGCCAAGAATTAGAGTCATTCCTAAATGACTCTAATTCTTGGCCAAATTATTCGAGTATAACCTGGTTTGGGTCAGTTTACGCTGTTTTATAATCCGCTTCGCGGATTATAAAGCGTAAACTGACCCAAACCAGGTTATACTCGAATAATTTGGCCAAGAATTAGAGTCATTCCTAAAATAATTTAGCGTTTTCACATATGTCTCTGCGGATTGCGACCGCAGGGTAATTGGTCAGTTTGTTTAGTGTAAATTACTGTTTAAACACTACATGTATGTCGTTACCCTGACTGTCCTGTAATTCTTCAACAATATCATAATTAAATAAATCACCGTTGAGCAATGTGAATTGGTATGTCTATCTTTTGCAGTCATTTATCAAATTATTCATTAGACAAACATTGTAAATTAAGTGAAAGTTCCGACTTAGTTTTGTTTATGGCAACAATGCAGTATGAAATTGTGTGACGTTTGCTCTGGAAAATTTTCAATGTCTGATTTCTCAGGCATGTTTCACGAGTTTTCTTGATTTTTTTCTTGTCTATTGAAATTGAAATAAAATATATGTACATGTAGTTTCCAGATAAAGGTAAACAGAATGTTTCTTCTTAAGTTTTTTTTTAGTCTTCTTGTGTTTATATGAATAGAGATTCGTGAAAAAATATGTCAAAAAAATGTGTATTTTGATACGATTAACCGGTTAATCGGTCGGAACGTGTTGCGGTTAACAGATTGGCATTCTGTATACGATTGTCATCCGTAATATATATATATATATATATATATATATATATATATATATATATATATATATATATATATATATATATATATATATATATATATATATATATATATATATATATATATACATGTATATATATATGGATGTGCTTGAGCGATAATCCAGTATGGGATAGCACATTCATCGTCCATAAATGAAGGAATAACCTCGAACATAGTCAATGTTGTAGTTTTGCAATGCAGATTTTTGTTGAGCATGTTCTTCAATACTTTGAAAAAAAATCTCCATCTATGAATTTCTGTATTCTATCGACCCAGTCTCCTGCCAATTGCAAAGAAATGTATGATCCAGAAGAAAAAGTTGGCCTAGCTATTCCACTGTGTAGTAACTTTTTTACAATATGTACTTTAAAAAAAATCGATTGGGTTCTCTTACTATAGATTTCCTTTTAAGAACAGACTTTGTAACATGAAATCAAGCCAAACTGCTGTAACAACATGCAATGACACTAAACGAAATACGCGAAATAAACATGTAACCGAAATCCGGAATTTTTCTAGGTCCTGTCTGGATATGATTATTCAGTAAACAAAATAATAACGAAATATTACCATAGAATCAACGTGCAGTAACGAAACACTCAAAGAAAATGCTAACTACATGTGAATGTCTACACTGAGTGGTCTACCTAACAATTCTGTTGTTTCCCGACACAACCTGCAACTGTCTAATTAACACCTTATAAAAATACGAAAACACCTAAATTTATTTACTCAATCTATATATAATGGTAGATGAGGAACAAAATTTTTTAGACATACTTGTATCATCAGAGGTACATGTATATAGAACATGTATCCTCTATACTTAGATCCTTGGATTTTCCGATTTAAATATTGGTGTTGTATATCCTTCTAGCCATTTCTCTGGATAAATGCCAGTATTAAATATTGTGTTAAATAACTTTAGGAGGCAGATGTTTAGGTATGTATGTGATGCTTTCAACATTTCGTTTGTGATATTGTCTAACCCTGGGCTTTTTTCGGACTTCAAGGATTTCATACCTTTATGAATTTCAGCAGAGGATATTTTAAAATCTAACTGGGTGAAGGAAGTATGTAGTTGATTGTTTTTTTAATTTCAGGATATTATTTTCA